GGGACAACGAGGACGCGACAGGGACGAACAGACAGACGGGGTTGAGAGAGAGTGAGAGAGGGAAAAGGGAGAAGAAATAGAAGGTCGGTAATCTCAGAGTAAATATTTACCCTTGCAGGCTGAGGCAAGAGAGCCACGGAGGTGCCTGGTGCCCGAAGCAGCAGATCACGACGAAACCACGCGAGTGGTTGGAAATCGATCTTCACACGGTCCACATGATCACCGCCACCAGCACTCAGGGCCGCTTTGGCAACGGGCAAGGTGTCGAATACTCGGAGGCGTACATGCTGGAGTATTGGAGGCCGAAGCTCGGCAAGTGGGTTCGATACAGGGACTATCTGAACGGGGAGGTAAGTAATCGCGTGGTTTCAAAGGTGTCGCGATAATTGACCGGCTTCCCCGTGTCGATAGGTGTCGATTGCGCTTTCTATTAGGCGGGCTAAGTAGCTTTCCCGTTACGTCGCGAGAAGGCGGCCCCGTGGAAAGAGAAAACGAAAGTATCGAGTACTTGGACGGGGAAACAGGCAAAGCCTTTCCTTCCCTCTCGCTCTTCGGCCTTTTCGCGCCACGTAATAAACCGCGACTCGAAAATTACGCCTTTTCCGCTTTTCCGGACTGGTCGTGCTCGATCGTGGAAATTAGCTGCACGAGAGGAAACCGAGGACACGCGTGTCTTTCCGCGAGAAATCGCGTGACACGAGGAAGCTGGCGACAACGGAGCGAGGGACGAGCAGAAATTAAATTGGAATTGGATTCTAGAGTCACGCCAGGAGAAATACTTTTATAGCGCAGCTTAAAACAGTACACATGGCGACGAGCGGAGATTGTATAGTCTACCGGAGATATCTCGGGTTATCATCGCGTGTGTCGTTATCTTCGCCTCTCTTCGGTCCCATCCTTGAAGTTTGTTTATTGCTCGGAGGAAAAGGCATAGTTAGGTTTGTCATCATTAGCGTGACGTCAATTTCCAAACAACTCACGCGAGGTCCATCTCGAACGACATCTCGGGTTCCTTGCACGCAGCTGTGTTGATAATTCCGATAGCGAATCGAAAGTTTTCCTATCGTTATTGAAACTTCGATTACACGGAGTCGCCATTACGCAAGGAGACGTTGCGTAAAGAATTCGAATTAATTATCGAAAATTTGAAGAAAAAGACTCGGTTGCTTTCACCGAATCGCTACTACTATTACGGACGACGACACCGAGCCGTGGATCTATAGATCCATAGATCCTCGTTTTCGCTTCTATCCTATTTCCGCAAATTATTCGCACGTGTGAAGTATCGCGACAAATCGAAAGCGAGACGAGGAAGGAACGCGAAAACCTGGCGGGACCTAGTACTCGGCATAATCCGGTGACAATTGCGGCAAAAGCGATACATAAGGAAGACGTATCCAGAGGTGAGCCGACGATCAATACCCGGTGTTTGTCATCCGCGGTCATGGGAGTCGCGCACACGGCACACAAGAGGCGCATAATTCAATTCAATTAACCGGTGGCAACGATTCAGCGGCGGGCCAGGTCCGCACGCGCGCGAGAGGTGGCGCGTAAGCGGAATCGCGGCGGTTAAATTTAGTCCCGCGGCGCGGTGTGCGCGTAAAACGGGCAGAGAGCGTGGATTATTGGGAATGATTTGTGGCGGTTGTCCGCGGGTCCATGTGCAGACAGTGCGCCGTGGGCCTCCGGTAACTAAACCGTGACGTTAACAAGACGTAAATCTCGGACGCGATATGCTCCGCCTGAAAAGTGGGTACCGCGGTTCTGCTTCGATGGCAATTTACTAGAATAGATCGGTAACCGTGAACCCACGGCGACTTTAATTAGCAACAGCCAACAATGGGGGCCGGGCGTCGTTCATTTATTACCAACGGTGAAAACGCGTGTCCTCCGCGGCGTTACTCGCGCGGGAATCCGGCGAATTCCGCGCTGGGAGGAGCGGTGCAGCCGGGCTGACGTCGATGAATGAACTGTCCCTCGCGCGCACCGGCCACGCGTCCGCGAGGAATTCTCCGCTGTTGACGTGGGTGTTATAAGCCCGCGTCGCGCCGCGGGTACGAGCGTTATATCCGCTGGATGTTTGCCATTTCTCCGTGCCACGTCCAGAGATACCTTTAAAAGGCCATTCGTAACGAGGGAACGGTGGTCTCGAGGCGCGGTCGCAGAAGAGAAGCAATCGCGAGATTCACGGATTAATGGAGAACTCTCGGTGACATCGTGTTCTTGACCTTTAACGTTCTCGTATCGTCCTTATCCTCCTCGTCGCGCGATTTATATCTTCGTCGAGGGGGACAACGGGGACCAGGACTAGGTGGACGAAGAACTTTCTCTATTTTGCGATATTTGTTGCGAAGAGCGACGCGGGAACCAATATAAGTCATTTCGCCCTGTCGACGATAACGTTATTTTCCAGCCGCGCTTGTTTTTATTTCTATTTGCCGACGAATGCGACGTGGACGCTTATTCCGACGACGAGCGATCGTGATTCTCGAGAACAGAAAGCGGCCGAGGCGAAAGGGGTGGGCGGGGTTGGTGGACGCGGAGGAAAGAGAGGGAAAAAGGGGGAAAAAGGGAGAAAAAGGGAGAAAGGAAGGAAGGAGGTGAACGTCCAGTCGACGAGGTGGATTTCCTTGGAAGTTAGTACGTGGAGAGGGTGCTTCGAGCTTATTTGTATAGGAGGGTGGATCAATAAAACGAGGGAAGGGAAAGTCGTCGCGTGCTTGCTCGCGGGTCAGACGATTTCGACTCACCTACATAGGCGTACATCGGGGCTGAGTAAGCCGAGGTCGATCGAACCTACGCTGCGCATCGCACGAAGGTCGAAGCAACACGAAATTTAACCACCCTTATTCGACCGTCGCGACTCCATTTACATGCCGCCGCGAAATAACCTTCGGCTCGGGAATATTTCTCTCTGGAAAAGAACTTTCTGGCACGCACTTTCTTTCTTCTTTAACCAGGGTGCCAGGGAAAAGGCAGTGAAAGTGCTCGGTCGAAGAAAAACTGCCTTTCTTCGCGCCGGCCAAGTTTTTCCTTCAAACTTCTTCCCTCTACCTTCCAGCAGCTGTATAATGACAGATCTGTTTCGACTTTAGCGTTCAAATTGTCTCGCTATTCCCGAGCACCAAATTATTCGCGTTCGCGAATCGCTCTGAAATTCTCCATCTTTTCTTTCTCGCGGCGAATACAAATTAATCGGTAAAGTTTCTTACTTTCCTCCCTTATCCGCTGTCTCCTCTGTGCCTTCCATCACGGGATATTCTAAACTCGAACGGAGATTACTCTCGGGTGCATAGTTACGCGTATGGAGAAACGTTTCGAAGGTTCCTACGAGCGAAATGCCTATTGAGAATTCAATTCGCAAAATTTCAATACCTCTAATATTACGACAACAATGCCGCGTATATTACGATACTAAACGCAGCGCGATTTTAATTGTTAACGAGGTACATATCATGCATGTTTGATACGCCGCATTGTCTTGAAATAATCGCCGATATTTCAACGCGTCGCGCGAAACGCGCAACATTCCCGGCACGGTCGATCCATTAACGCATTTTCGCATTCGAAACGATCTCGTCGGAATAAAACTCGAGAACGCGTCTGCTCGCCCACTCGCTCCTCCTAGTCTCTCTCCGATTACCGGCCCCCGGACGCTTATTACCCGAGTCGTGGCCACGAAATTTACGTCCCTGAAGATCGGTTATAAATTACGGTCGTCTGGGCTCCCACTGATTCCCGCTTAATCCCGTCGGTAAAGCGGGATTAATTAAGTAAGAGACGTTCGCGAGGCAAGGAAACCGGTCGAAAAAGGTGAAAGGAAATCGAGATACCCGCGCATCGATGATCGTTCCTCTCGCGAGTATCCGCGTGCACGTACACGCTGCGTAGGTTCGTGGAAAAAGTCGCTCGTTCCGTCAGATCAGTCCCGGATTCGTCCAGGAAACAGGTTCGAAGCGAGAGGCCCACCCAAACGAAGCCCGGAGAGTGTGGCTGGTGGTTGGCCGGGATAAATCTGCAGAAATTCGTGTCCCTTTCGTCCCCGCTGCGAGGGCCTGTTCCCCCGCTTAATTACACAACGACACTCGGCTTATCCGGCGAATAATCTCTCGTAACAGCTCGGCCCGGGCCAGGCGACGTCGGTGGTACACCGTGGCGTGCGGTTGTCAACGGCTCCGACCACTTTACAGTCCATCCGGATGGAACCGCGGGGAAAAGAGGCGAAAAAGTGGCGGGATGCGTCTAATATTTTTCGACGACCGTATTTGGCGCGAAGCAGATAGCCGAGCGAGCATGCGTTATCTCGTTGATCCTTCGCGCAAACCTCGCGCTGTCTCACCGGGCTAATCGCACGGAACCGTCTGTCGTTGTTTCGCATTTCGGCTGGGGTCCTCCGGGTCGATCGAAATCGGTCGAAGAATCGGTCTTTTTCCGCAAGAATTTTAATCCACGCTAAACTCGACGGTTCGTTTGACACGGAAAAATTACGCCTCGGTGATTTGCGATTGTTAATTCTCAGTGAGATGGAAGGCGAATTGCAAATTGCGGATTGCGGATTGACAATGGCGTCGCAATGGCGCCAGTAGAACGTAACGGGTTGACGGATGGAATTACTTTACTTTGACATTTCACGTATCGTCACGGCACATTAAACTATCGATCTTTAGGATTTTATTAAATGGCGATTGAAAGTCGGCTCTCGAGCGTAAAACGAAGGAGAGAAAGGGAGTTTGGAAAAATTGCTGACTGGGAACCAGTTTCTTCCTTGATGAGTCACGAAGTTTCGACTGTATATCTCAATCAGCCAAGAGTTATTATCTCGTTTACGGATTAACAGGATTAAAGGCCTGAATATTCCAGGCGCTCGTATATTAGGAAATATTGATGCGGGCTTATAGATCTCCATGAAAAGAACAAAGAATTCGCTCGAGGAGGACACTCGGAACTCTAGAATTAACGCTGAACGTCGAGAACGTCTCGGCGTATGTATAGTGCGTTCGAGAAAAGAAGGCATGACGGTTGATTAACTCCACTGACACTCGCATCATCACAGGCAGTGACCGCTATTAGCCGAAGATGAAGATGATGAAGATAATCGATCACCGTTTTCTGTGGTCGAGGTAGAAGAATCAGTACAGTTAATCAATCGTAAGGATGCACACGCACCTTCTTCCCCCGAACGCACAATACCTACATAGATCTCCATGAGAAAAGAACAAAGAATTCGATGGAAGAGAACACTTTAAACATTTTCGAGCCTTTGGTACTCTAGAATTGACGTTGAACGTTGGGAACGTTTCAGTCTATGTATAGTGTGTTCGAGAAAAGAAGGCATGACGGTTGATTAACT